GAAGAAGTGGTCATTCAAACGGTTCACTCACTCAAGAGTGGGAATAATATAATTAGTTTTAAGGCTTTCGACATAAGGGCTGAGATTAGCGGTCGCTTCCACCAGAAAGACAACGTCAGCCACGGGTTGATCACTACTCACTACCATTGCCACAGATTGTCCACTCCTTCGCAACGCACACAACAACAACGGATCCGCTCTTCGCGTGACTCACGAAACAGACAATCGTTTCGTTGAGTCAATCAAAGACTCGCTTTCAATGCAATCTCAATAATGAGGCAAACATTGAGGCAAACAATTGTCGTTCGTATATAACGTTACGCACGAAAACAGTGACAAACTGTAGACACTTTTACTGTCACTCATGTCATCACTTATGGCACAAATCACATACTTTTTAAGTTTCAAACTTTTTATCAGTTTAGTTGTCATTAGAGAGATTGTATTGTAGTAATAGATAAAGTCAAATGAGCTTGGTATTATATTGTCGCACATTAATTCTTATGAATATTTGATGGGAAAATAAGCAAGGTTGTCATTTGGAAATGTTGTCATTTTAATTTTTATTAAACATATAAATTATAAGTTGTTTGTTATAAAATTATAAAAATTACAATAACGGTAATATTTATACTATTTTTTTTATTCACAAAATTTTACGGTAATACTAACTGAAAGATAAATGAGATACTTGTTTGATATATAATACTATTAAAGATATAATACTATTATTTGTTATTTAAATGTGTAAATCTCTATCTTTTCTGTCAAAGTTCAGTAAAGTTATAAATAAATCTTAAAACCCTTCTTCCATATATTTATTCAAATTTAATTATAGATTGAATTATAGCTAAATATTGTAAATTGAATGCATATTGCAGTGGAAATGATGTGAAAACGGACTTTTTCGGCCCCAGAAGTCGATCACTCGGATCCTATAAAATCCAAATACTGTTTCATTTTGAATCAGTTCTGGAATCAAATGATTGGTATTAAAAATATATGTTAATTGACTTTACATTAGACTCACGCGTGAACTGAAAGGACGGGGAAATAATATGATTTGCATTAATTTTTCTGAAAGAATCATTGGAACCGTTTTGGGAATATTCTATTTCATATGTCTTAACACATCTTAATATTGCATAAGAATATCATTATTAAAATTGCATAACATATTGAATGCTTTATAACCTGGTGTTAGGTGTTTGCCAATTGAGTACAACTGAATTGTTTGTCACATATATAGCCCTAATGTCTGTTATCTAAAATTTCATAGCAATTAGTATTGAAATTATCACAATTTAAAATTTTATTTAAAATACCTTTTCGGGAGTAATACTGGTTTTACGGCACATTTGAACCAAACAAATACCAGGAAATGCAATATCAAAAGTATGGCTCCAAATATTGTCTTTTAATACTAAATTATGTGAATTAACTTCAATATAGGGCTCCTATAATGCAATTAAAATAATTAAAAGTACTTTTTGAAAATAAAATAATTGAGTGCAGATCACTTTAAATATTAATATTCTTATTCATTTGATTTGTGCACAAATCGCATAATTTAAATAAATGTATTAACAAATGCAAAACAACCTCTTGTTCTCTCATTTGTGCAAATAGTTGTTCTGTTGGATAATCGGGACAATTGTGTTGAGACCACACATTAAAAGGATTGGTGTGATTATTATCCATAATATATTGCGACCATTTCCACTCATCAGATGATATACTGTCATTAAAATGTAAGTTAAAGTTAACGGCGTTTGTTTGGTTTGATAGCAATGTGTCCAACGAATTGACAAATAGAAACGAATATTCTGTGGCCCTAAAGGAAATGGTTTTACAAAAATATTAATCGTTTATAGGAAACAAACCTATCATCAAATTCTGGTATATTCTGGTCTGCAATAAAAGCGGTTGAAATCATATGAGTGGTAGAATTTGCTGTAGAATTAGTTTTGAATTCAATCAAAGTGTTTCCCAATTTAGATAATAAGCCCATTATAGTGAACGATGGCTTTTTGACAAATTCTGTGTAATGTGGAGAAGTATTGTTCATCTGAAACCTTTAAGAATCGACACATTATAACAGTGTATGGGATATGTTTGGGTGCAATACCGGGCCAATAGTGTTCGTTGTGTGAACTGAAACGGATAGA